ATTATCATTACAAGTTAACAAGGAGGATCATGCATGATATGATAACTAAGCAGTAATGGTGGGAGCTGAACATGATTCCAGGATGGTCTACGTACGCTCTGATTAGTTCATGATAAAAATGATTACTGTTTCTGAAAACAGCCAGACTTTACCTAATGGTTGATGTGAACTGATCTCTTCTTCATCTTGAATAAAGAAATCACGGCAGTGCCGGACATCTGATCCAGATAATATTTTTTAGGTGTAGGATCTGCACTTAAGATGCTCTCCAAAGTGAAGCTGATCAACATTCAGACATCAATATCTTGATCATTGTGAATAGCATCCGCCACAGTCCCTGCATTCTCCAGTATCTTGATCTGCCACCACAAACCATGACCGGTTAGCTACAATACAATCATGAATTATCATCTAGGCCCCATTTCTCGAGAAGCTTATTTTGATGATCTCTCCATGATAATTAATTATTTCACATGTGCTGTAAGATGGAATAAGAAATGAAGGAATGGCAATGCACATCAGTGATGGCAACTGGATCCTGGAAGGGAAAGGATGATACTCGAGCACCTAAAGTGTTGTTCCATTGCCTCTTCCGAGCCTTCATCAATTACTTTTTCTCCTCCTTGTTCAGTGGAAAGTGATGGGCATCTTTCATCAGACCTTACATCATATGCCAAGTAGCATATAGACTATTGCTCGACCGTATCATTCTTCTGCTCCTCCTTGATGATCCTTACCGACATGGCGCAACATGGACATCGGCACATCTCAAGGGGTTTGGTACGATCGAAAGGAGAGGGAAAGCTAATCGTGTGATGATAGCTCATGATGATGGAGATTGAAATACAAGGCTAAACTTTGATAGAACTGACCTTTAGCCGAACGAGTGCCAAAGGAAAGGACAGTGTAGCTTGAGAGATTTGACATCAAGGGAAGAGGCAATTTTGTATGCCATCCTCTCGTGCCGAAGCCAACTAGGAATACAGAAATTGAGGTTGAGAAAGAGATCTTAAAACAAGGAAAAGGGAGGGAGATACGAAGTAGAGAGTGATCCAAGCAAAGACACGGAAGACCACAGAGAGAGAGAGAGAGAGAGAGAGAGAGAGGCTGAATGCCACAATCAGAAACAGGATGAAAGCATAGAGCATCTCGAATGTACTTGACCATCATTTGCCAAGGTTGGCTTGGGATTCCATTAAGATTGCTGATACTGACAGATGGCTGCAATGAAAAGGGGCGGGGACATTGCAATTGAGTAGGACTCTTACCACATAGCTTCAACTGCCACATTTGATTCAGAAGCTCAATGTGACAAGAAATCATACTAGTCATTATGTATATTACGATTCACATGCTCCTAAAACAAACATGATAGAAAAATGCACCATTAAATGTCGAAGATAAGAGTTAGGTTTGAGTTGATGCTTTGTTAGTAAATGCAATGTGTTATCAGACGGGTAATGTTAGGGTCAGGCAATCAGCATCTTTTCAGAAGAAGAAACGTAGAGAACTTGCGATTGCACATCTGTTGATGTTCCAAGTTCTTCCGGCGAATTTGAGGTCTTTAAGCACATGTTAATTTAGGATGTGGATGGTTGAATTCTTAGGAAGCCACATGGCTTTTTCTCATTGATTATAGATTTGCCTTTTGAATGCTAAAGAAATCTAATCTTTTTCTTTTTTTTCTCATTTCAATAGATTGTGCATTGAACAATGGTTTAAGCATGCATCTTCATGTGAAAGATTATAAAAAAAAAAAGAACAAAAAGAAAAAGAAAACCGGTGAGCCGAGATAAAAGATTTTTCCAGAAAAAAAAAATGAAAGCATTTAGCACAAAAAGAGAACCAAGACCTAATATTAGTGAAGCTCATAAAGCAATTTCAATTATTTATTCGAATCTTCAGCATACGCTTCCCGCTTAGTAGTTTCAGTCTCATCATGAGATGAATGAACCGATGAAGGAAAAGTCTGACACGAGTTGTGTGTTATCTGAACGAAGCCCACAATACAGTCCATGCGTGACCAAGCTTGAGCTCAGCCCAAGTCTAATGAAATCCTCTCCTCTCCTTGTGGCCCTGTCTCCTCAGTTCACGTAGAAAGCATATCAGCTTCATGCTAACTTCTCTCTCTTCGTGACCAACACACTTGTCTCATTATTGGCCAATCTGGTCAAACTCCTCCTGCAGCTTACTTAAGTTCATGAGAACTTCAACTGGTATCTCTCCTGGTCACAATCTCTCTCACCCTCCTCCTCCTCCTCCTCCTCCTCCTCCTCCTCCGAGTTCCAGGTCTCAGGAGTTCTTGATGGGCCGCCTCGAAGAGGCAGCTGCGGTGGAAGAGAAGCCCGATGAGGCATGCAGGACGCCGAGGGCGGCAGAATGCAGGATCTCTGAGGCTCCGACACGCCCCCCGCCGCCGCCACCAAGGAAGCCGAGGATGGAGCCGTGCTCAGCACCTCCCAAGGCGTTCTTCAGCTCCCCGGACATTGAGGCTTTCTTCGCGGCTCTCTCTTCAAAGCAACGAAGAATGCCTGGTTAAACCACTAAGAGGGGTGGTATGATTTCAGTGGAGAGACTGCATATATATTAACTAGGACGAGGTGCTAGATTTGGTAACTGTAATCTACGTGCATGAATCCACACATTTGAACGTTAGCCATTGTCCTTGCCAATTGTTTAGATTATATTATGAGAAATTTCAGAAGAGTGTATGTAATCCTCGGTCATGGAATTCAGCAGATATCGGAAGAAATTGAACTCGGCAACAGCACAACATATAAAATGATGTATATAAAAGCGCAACTGGAATCATAAAGAATTACCCATGCAGTCTCTTAAGAAATGTTCTTCTTAAGATGGCAATTCCCCCACACCAATCTACATTGAGTTGAAATTTGATATTCTTCTGCTAAATCGTCATTGTAATTAAATTCAACATAAACATGACCCATGTGACTCTTCACAGAGAGAAAAGCAATAATTTTCTCAAAGTTCTCAGTCCTCCAAACATTGGATACCTAATAATAAACAGATAATTAAAATTGGTACAGAAACAAGGTGAGGGTGGAATGGGCATCATCACTTGCTTCTTTGATCGACTAACAAAGACAATGCACTTAGCTAGAATGGGACCCTGTGACACCCCAGATGCGTTTGCTATGACAAGGAACAGATATGTCCATAAGAATAAAGAACTGTTTCGAGAAGGCCATGGCCAAGATGATGAACAGAAGCCCAGCTAAAGTCTCCCAATACTCTGGTTTCTCCTCCTTCTTCTTCATCATCATCATCCAGTAGTGTCGGCACCCCCTGCTCCACCACTTCTTTGGAGGCTCACTGGAAACCCTTTAATGCTGTTTTCACAAACATGTTGGTGGACCACTCCATTTGCTAAAGAAGTTGGCATTGAAGTTTCCAGCACACACAATCCATCAAAGGGCCACAATTTTCAAACTGATGTTGATCATTGTCTCCACTCGAGTGTTAAAAGTAAGGCAAGAAAATTCTTCCTCATTCTGGACTCTTCTGCTGTGTCCAACAAAATCCACAAGCTTGAATCTGACTCTCATGTGATGATGAACAGTTTTAAGTGCTTTTCTGTTTCTCTTCCTTAACTGGCCATACTGCGGCACCCATATTGGTTGGCAGCTAAATTTGCTGCAAGTCAGCGCTTCTTACTTACTAGCTTGATCTTCATGGTGAGGAAATGGCACAGGAGAGCTATTAATTAATGATGCTTTAGCAGGAACGTTGGTATCGGTAGTTGATGCTTTGCTTGACTCGGCAAAAAGGAAAGCCCATGGCCAACATCCTTCAGCATTGGAATAGATTCCAACCAACTAAGATGCATGAGTTCCTCTGCATACTGATAGCAAAGACCAATAAGCGCTTTTGCATTGGAGATAATATTTATTACCAGGAGGTGGTAGTTGGCCCAAACAATATTGTTGCTCGAGCAGAATGCTTGATTTAACTAACTATATTTGGTCATGGTGTAGTTGGAGCAGAAAGAATCAGAAATGATGGACACCAACTACTTGTGTTGTCATTCAGATCAACACTGAGATGTACCATAAATCAAATGAGCAAAATTAACCCAACCCAGGAATTGCCATAAACATTTTCATTCACTTCACGAGACAAAAATTGGTACTAGAGAACATGGATCGATGCAGCTACACCTAATTTGGTTAATTAATCATTTCTCTAAGGTTCATGATCAATGGAAAAAATTTGTTGATTTAATTTATGCACAAATAGTGCAGATTAGTCAATGAAATTTTAGTTGATTTAATTCAAAGAATATCATCTATCTATGAGATTTGTCATTTAATCAGTATGAATTTTTTGTCGAATAGTCAATAATTAAAATAGTTTTGCAATTGAAGTTCTGCACAATTGGATTCAGAGAGAATGTTAATAGCACATTTGACTTTAAATGAAGACTGTTTCAAGAAAACACATGAATGGGAGCCAGAAATCATTGCCCAAAGCTAAAGGAAAGCTAAAAGAGTAAAAAGATAACAACAACAACATCAGTAGTGAAATAGTCCCCAAAGAGAAATGCCAGATCAAATTCCTATCCAATGAATGCAACATTTCTACATTCATATTCATGGAACTCTCAAAAACAAGAACATGAACATTTCTACTATCAAACAAGAACATGATTTCTTCCTTCTTCAAAAAAGTCCAAGCAAAGATCCAAAGACCTGGAAAGTAGTCTTGGCAGGAGAGCAACTAAAGTGAAAGTTCATTTGATGCAACGCAAAAGGTTAAAAGCTATCTATTCCACAACTGAAAGCAGCCTTTTTTGGATCCTCTATAGTCTAATACCACCCAGTTTATGCCATACATGCCCAATCATGCAAAGCCACCTGCCCCAGCCCACCTCATGGCCAGAGGGATGAATATTATCCAGCTGCAATATTTTATTTATTGTTATTTTTTTTTCCTTCTCATTTTGTAGCATTAGCATGGCTATCCACTCCTGCCAGCTCATGTTTCTGTATGCTTCCTAATTGAGACAGTGGTGTTATACATCACTCAGACCAGCTCCACTGTCTCTTCTTATCTTCTCAGTCCTTCCCCTGCCTCAGCTAATTCAACACAGGAAATCTATAGCGATTATACCAACTCTTGGATCCATGGCCTCCGAAGCTTCTGTGGCAGATCAAACAGTTACTGAGGTCAGTGAAGCAGACATGCGTCTTCTGCATACTTTCCTTCAATTTCTTGCTTTATACAACTGATACAACTGGTCTGAACACTGAATTGTATCGTGAAACAGCTGATTGAATGCCTGATTGCTGCGAGTGGTGCTTAGAGTTAGCCAATTACGCTGATCAACAAAGCCCCCCCCTTTTTTTTTTCTCTCTTGACCATGGTAGCTGATTCCTCCTAATGGCCCTCTTCTCCCAGTTTCCTCAAAGCTGGGAACAGGATGAAGACAGAGAAGCTAAAAAAGATAGCAGATGTTTAATATTTAGAATACATGTTCGTGTGTTTGTTAGAAAACAGCATCTTGTTCCTCTTTATATGCCTTCTTCTAATCTGCTTGTAGGGTCTTTGTTGTACATCAGGACACCTTGTATTTCTAGGTCACTCACAACATTTCCTCTTTTTATAAACCTATTAGTATTTTCAAAAATATTGAAAATAAAACCCTATCATACAGCTAGAAGAGAATCAATCATATGCATCTTGTTTGTACTCTTCATGACCATTTGAGATTGGTTTGGCTTTTTTCTTTCCATATTTTGTTACTCTGGTTAAATTTATAAAGAAGTATGAAACCCTCATGTTTGGTTCTTAAGATTTTTTAAGGTGAAACACTTTGGGTATTCTCTCATTTTCTGATTCTTGCAGCAATATCTCAATTTACAACTTGATAAAACCTGTTACAGTCTAGATAAATCTGAGAAACTAATCAGTTATCTTTTACCCCTTCAACATGCCTTGCCTCTATCCCAAACCTTTGTTGATCTCTTCCAATATGCTATCAAACATCCGGGTTTTGCCTTTTTGAAGGAAATATGTCCAAGTTACCAATTTACTCCACATATCTTATTATCTCTTGTCGTGCACAATCATTCTTAAAGCGCTCCTGCTTGATAGGTATTCTATATTTTCATTCACTTTCTCCCTTGACATTTTCAATTTGCAGCAACTTGTTTCAGCTTTTATGCACCAAACTAGTTAGTTGATGATTGGCAAAAATAATTTGTGTTTGCCAATTGCTTAGGAATCATTGGCATCACGGTGGTCTGTCATCACAATATGCATAAGTTTTGCTTTGCTATTACATTCTTTCATTTATTAACATTGTCTTTATCAGCAGCTACAAATGTCTAGTCTTGTTTCTTGTTTTATCCCTACTCCAAAAAAAAAAAAAAATCACAGATTTGACATAAGAAAAGCTTTCGTGTTAAGTTCACACTTCTGGTAATTAACAAACTATAACCAGCTTTAAATTTTATATAAATCCAATCTGTACAAAAATAAAGTATACTTGGCAAGAAGTCAATATCCTGTTTAATTTGTCGACATTTAGTCCCACAATTTTCAGTATACACAGTATTAATGATATCCGTGCAAATCTAGCTCAATTAATATTATGTTTCTTATGAGTTTCTGAAAATAGCCTTCCAAGCACTTGAACTGTGCAGTTCAGAGAGTATTCCATCATAAGAAGTGGGAACACACCGTACTAAAAGGACATGTTAGAAAGATTCAAATTCGCCAATTTACCTTTCTTCTCTTCGGTAGGGTAAAATGTAAGCCGAGGATATAAAAGGAAAAGATGAAGAAGAAAAGGTGCATTTGCAAATATAATTGCAGTTATTAATATTATGCTTCCTATGCGGAATATCGTTGTGATTTTGCATTTTGTATATTCATTTGTCAGAGCATGTCATCGACAACTGAATTGGTTTAAACCTTTTACAACAGATTGAGACTACTGCTCCCGAGGATCTAAAAGGGAAAGACAAAGATGAAAAGGTACGTTTGTGCATTCTCCAATATGATTGCAAATATATGCATGTGATGCCTAAGCAAATATAATTATCCTTTTGTAGTTTTTTTGTATTTATTTATCGGAGCTTTTATTGGTACCTGAATAGTTCAGACCTTATACAGCGGACCGAGTGTCATGTGTCTGATGATGCAAGTAATGCTGATGAGCCGAGTCTTTCAAAGCCTGACGATCTAAAAGGAAAAGATGAAGAGGAAAAGGTGCATCTGCATTTAAAATTTCAAATATTAGTATATGCTACCTAAGCAAATATCATTCTGCATTTGTATTTTCCAAAACTATTGGTCAGTAGCTGACTAGTTTAAACCTTTTACAGCAGATTGAGACTATTGTTTCTGATGTTATAAGTAATGCTGATGATGCGAGTCTCCCAAAGCCCGAGGATCCAAAACAAGAAGTCGAAGAGGAAAAGATCATAGTGGAGGATTCTTCAAGTGTTGAAGCACCTACATCTGGACCAGAAGAAAATCTAAAGCAAAAAGAAGAGGGCTCTGTGATTGAGGAGGTGAAGGAAGAAGCAGTCGATAAGTCTGTTTCTGAACCACCAGTTGAAGCTGAAGAGAAGGAAATAGTAGTGGACAAAACTGATGCACCTAATACTCCTGAGCTGCCAAATGAACCAGTGGAGCAACCAGCAGAGGTCTTGGAAGCATCTGTCGTGGAAGATTCAGTTGATAAGATCAAAGAGTCTGAACAAACAGAAATCATGACCGCAGAAGCAAAGAGTGCCGACGAATCCTCAAAAGTCACTGTGGTACCTGTTTCTCCAGAAGTAACAGATGACAAGCCTGTGGAACAACCAACTACTGTATGCCTGGTCCAGGAACCAACTCTTGATGCCAATGTGAACCTCAATTCTGATGAAACAGCAGAAAAGCCTCGAGATGAAGAACCTTTGTCTGATGGGATGGAGGTCAGTCCTGAGTCATCTAAGGAAGAAATTGCTCGAAATGAAACTTCACCATCCATTACTGAAGATCTAACTACGAAGGTTCATGAAACTGTTGAAACTGAAAGTTCAGAAGCAATTGCTGTAGTTCCTCCTGTGGATGAGCCCAAAGAAGCTGAAGAAGAAACTATTGTTGCTGAACTTCCTAGTGATTCTGGTGCCAAGGAATCTGCGGGAGAAGAAAGAGTGTCAGCCACAAGTGTCATAGAAGTTTCTGATACCATCCCGGCAACTGAAGTTGCTGAATGTGCAGTTGAGCCAGAAGTCGATGTTAAGAAAGAGACGAAAGGAAGCACTATAGATGTCGATAAAACAACCTTAGGCGAGACAATCCAAACAATTGTTGAAAGTGAAGTGACTGGAATCTCTGAAGAAGTAAAGATTAATCAGATGAAGAATGAGAGTTTGGAAAGTGAAAAGTTGACTGTGGCTGAAGCATCTCGAGACATCAACTTAGTTGGAGCTGAAAACAACAACAAGGCATCTCGTAACGATCCAGAATGTGATTCTAAAGAGTTAGAAAGTTCAGAAGACAAAAAACAAGAGACCGAAAAGGTTGTTGATCAGTGCTCAGCTGAAACCACCAAAGACAGTGGTGATACAAAAGTAGAAGAAGAGGCTCGGAAGACAGATGTTCCCAGTAAGAAATCTTCTAAAAGCCAGGGGAACAACATAATATCAAAGGTGAAGAAATCAATTGTCAAGGTAAAGAAGGCAATCATAGGGAAGTCACCAAGTTCGAAGGCCATGACACCTGAAGGAGATGACGAGATGAAAGCAAAGTAGAGTCGATGGAGAGTGCACAAAGATGGAATCATGGATTTGAGTGTCATACTATCATGTCTTCTTTTTTTGGCTGTTTTCTTTATGCATATAAGTTGTCTAAGGATGTTCTGCAATCTGCCCATGCAAATGTGCCTGCTAAATGTTGCGAGAAGCTAGTATTCATGCATATGGAAGATAAGATGGTGGAGAAACTTCTGCTAGGGGAATTCATCGAGTTTCTGATGTGCAGCCGTGAAGATTAGATGGATCATCCCCTATTTTGTTCTTGGTGATCTTCATTGGCATCCTTGTCGTGCTGTGTCATAGTCTTGGAAGTGTTCATATAATTGTCAAGACATTCGTTTGGTCTGTCATGTGCATAGTTACATTATGTATCATAGTGTTGTGATGTTCATTGCTGGTTGGTTTGTAAGTTGGTACTATATAATAATATTATTCTTTATTAGCAGTATGTGATGCACTTTCTAAATCTGGGGTTGTTCAGAACATGAGCTCTCTGCATGAACAATAGCAAGTAAGCTACTTTAGAATTGTAGATAGGATCAAATTTTGCTTGTGTCAGAGCTGCAACTCTGGTTATCCATTGTACCTCCTTCGATAAGTTGATTCGATGTGCATAATCTCAGATGGATAATGTGGGTAATGGAATAATTGATGGCAAAATGAATTCAAGTACATGATAAAAGCAACAGCTCTATGATTTCACAGAACATGTGAGATTAGAGACTGCAACAGGAAAATTTTGTTCCAAAGCTATTAGATTTTCATATCGACCACTGAAAAAACTTGGGTAAGTCAGGTTGACCAAGTCTTGATGGTTTTATGGTAACCAAAGACATCTTTCCACGTTTACTCGACATACATCTTACACTTGTATAAAACAAACCTCATACAAACCCAACAAAGATCAAGTATGCTAAACAAAGCCAGAAAAGAGAGAGAGAGAGAGAGAGAGAGAGAGAGAGAGACTTCTATACCAAATTTGTCGTTGAGCAAATGCTGCAACCAAGTTTTGCAACACAGCTTGAGGATGGCATTCACTGACTTGATGTGGCAGCAATCAAAGGCTTACACTGGAACCGAATCTGTGGAGGAGTGAGGGGGATGGAGGAAAGAAAAAAATAAAATAAAGATATTTTAAAGTGTATTCTCTCTTCTATCTTGCTGATGAACTACGATCCTATTTATAGGGCCCAGTGGTAACTACCCATATCATCATGTCACTCATGATTGAAGTAGTTATTGAAACTACCCTATAACATCTAGATCATGGTAACTATATAGATCATGGTAACTAGCTAGATAACTACTATGAATCAATTCTCAACACTCCTCCTTGATTCATAATTACATACACCGATTTGTGACATGAAATAAACATACTTTTGAACTGGAAGCGACTTGTTGAGGATATCATTGTTAGGATCAAGAGCACTAAGAGGGGGGGGGGGGGGGGGGGGGGGTGAATTAGTGCAGCGGATAACTTTCGACGATTTAAAACGACGTTCGTATGATAAAAACACTTTCGATGAAAAACTGTTTCGAAAAGTTCTTCAACTTAAGATTCAGTGAAGTACAATTGAAGAAAAGCAATGGAGGCAGTTTGCAGTTAAGATAGAGAGCATAATGTAAATACAAATCAAGATTTAGAGTGGTTTAGTCAATCTTGACCTACATCCACTTTTGGCTTCCTCCTCCGATGAGGTCACCGACGTCCACTAGAGGCTTTCTTTTAATAGACGAAGGCCAACCACCCTTTTACAGCTTTACTCTTTTTGACGGGCTTAGGAGATAACCCTTACAGATTTTCATTCCTCTCTTGAATGATCAAAACATAGATGAAAAGAGAGATAAGAACTTTTGACTTGTTACAATACTTTTGAGCTCTCAAATTCTCAAAATAAGATCAAGATTTCAGTACTCTTTCATGCAGGAAAAGGTGAGGTTTATATAGGCTCCAATTGGTTCGAATTTGTAGCTCAAAAATATCATCTCCCGGATTTTCAGGTCCTGGCGATACTATCGCCATAACTAGGTGGTACTACCGCCTGGCATTGCTTGGAGACCGAGCTCCGACGGTACCATCACTTAACAGGGGCGATACCATCGCTCAGCTTCGCTCAGAGATCAAGCTTAGGCAGTACCACCGCCTGACAGGGGCGGTACCACCACCCAGCATTCCTGGGAGACTGAGCTCCTAGGCAGTGCCATCGCCGGTCAGGAATTCTGGGTCCGAATGGGCCGATCCATTCGGCCCAATTTGGGTCTGTCAAGGGCCCAATTGCCCCTAGATTAAGTTAATGGAATCACTTCCCATTCCTATCTTAATCTACATACTAACTATAATATTTAAGACATTAATACTACAACTTGCTCCGGTGCGTCAATCGCTTCTTCCGGCGAGCTTTCGGCGAACTTCCGGCGAACATTCGACGAACCCTCGACGATGCTCCGGCGGACTTCCGGCAAACTCCTGGACTTGCGATGATCCACTTACCGAGTTCCGATGAGCTTCTTTGGCAAGCTCCTGGACTTCTCGGATTTGTTCCCGTAGAACCTTCGATGACCGTCCGGACTTTTGTCGAACTCTCAAACCCCCAACGTGATCATGGTCTTAACTCCGGCGTAACTCCTGCTGCATATCTTACTTCCATCATAGTTAATCCTGCACACTTATCTCAACATATGGATTAGATAACAAATGACAATTGACTTCATCATCAAAATTCGAGATTCAACAATCTCCCTCTTTTTGATGATGACAATAAATTGATAACGGAATTAACCTTAACTCCCCCTATCTATATGCTATACTTGAGATAAGTCATTCTTGAATTCAAAGCCTTTGAATTCAAAATACATATTGATAAGTTAAGTTTATTTAACCTTATCAATACTCCCATCATGATTCCTAGCATGATGTATATCAAGGCTTGACATCCATTTTCACGTCTTACAGTTCAAATATGAAAGATAGCAATCATAGCAATTCATCATATGGTAAGATATCAACATATAAAATTATGATGTAAGCTCTTGATATTTTAACATAATGCAAACATTTCAAGCGTATAGCAATCATAGCATTTCATCATATGGCAAGATATCAACATTGTAAAATTACGATATAAGCTCTTGATATCTTAACACAATGCAAACACTTCAAGTGTATAGTAATCATAGCATTTAATCACATGGTAAGATATCAACATTGTAAAATTACAATGTAAGCTCTAGATATATTTTCATTAATGCAAACATTTCACATATATAGCAATTCTATCATTAATTTACCATATATTTTAAGATATTAATATCGTAAAATTACGATGCAAGCATTTGATATCTTAACATAATGCAAATATAACAATTCTATCATCAATTTACCATGTATTTCTCCCCCTTTGTCATCAACAAAAAGGAGAACTATTTAAGCAAACTTTAAGCAACGATTCATGTCATTTTTCAATAATGAGTAATAGGATACCAATTATACAAATATATCAAGGAAAACATAACACGGAGATAGCTTTCATTACTTCTTCCTTTTTATTTGTCATTATCTTTTTCCATGAAGGAGGAAAGTCATTTACGAGCTTACTTGAATAAAGTTAAAATCGATAAGAGATTAAATCACGCTTTATTTTTGCAAGTGCTAAAAAAAGATCTTCCTTTTTCAAGATGCAATTTATAAGAAGGAATCATTTCATCAAATTCACTTCTCGAAAAAATATTTTTCACACAATAAGTCTATGAGAGATGTATTTGTTAATCGATTCCATATGTCAATAATATGAAACAAACTCGATATGACATATGCTTATAAAAGCTACATTAAGTCCGGAAGAGAAATACTAAATCATGTTAGGATCAAGAAAATCCGAAAATAAAATTTAACACTTTCATGTATTTGGACATGGTTTTGCTAAAGATTTTCAAACACAATCATGAGGATAAAACATGCTCATGATCATGAAAATTTTTGTATCCAAAACACATAATTTCCAACATGTTATTAAGACATGTATTCGTATAAACTTCTCACATAGCATTAAGTGATTGATCATTGAATCAAGAAAGTTCGAAAAATGAATTTAATAAGTTCATGCATTCGGACAAATCAACATTCCTAATTCTCTTATAATAAAATTAAATTGTTCTTCACTTAAAGACTTTGTAAAAATATCAGCTAGTTGATGTTTAGTATCAATGAACTCTATAATTACATCATGATTAGTGACATGATCTTGTATAAGTGATGTCTAATATCAATATGCTTTGTTCTTGAGTGTTGAATGAGATTCTTTGTTAAGCATATTGCACTTATGTTATCACATTTAATGAGAATATTTTTAAGATAAACTTTATATTCTTCTAAGGTGTTTTCCATCCACACAGCTTATGCACAGCATGAACTAGCTGCTATATACTCAGCTTCGGTTGTTGATACTGCAACCGAGTTTTGTTTCTTAGATGACTAGGAAACAAGGGCATGTCCCAAAAATTGACGTGTTCCTGATATGCTTTTTCTATCTAATCTACACCCAACAAAATCCGCATCAGTATAAGCAATTAACTCAAAATTCTCGATTTTTGGATACCATAATCCTAGATTTGTCGTACCTTTAAGACATCTAAGTATTCTTTTAACTACTTTGAGATGAGATATCTTAGGGTTCGATTGAAACCTAGCACAAAGTCTTACACTGAATATGATATCTGGTCTAGTTGTAGTGAGGTAAAGTAAACTTCCTATCATACCCCTATAATTTTTTGATCGAAGCTTTTACTACTTTCATCAACTTCTAACTTAGTGGAGGTGCTCATAGGAGTGTTGATAGTTTTTGAGCTATCCATATTAAATCTTTTGAGCAAATCTAAAACATATTTAGTTTAACTAATAAAGATGTCATTACTTAGTTGCTTAATTTGTAAGCCTAAGAAGAAGGTTAATTCTCCCATCAAATTCATTTAAAATTCGAGATTCATAGTTTTAGCAAAAGATTCACAAAGAGATTCATTCGTAGAGCCGAAGATAATATCATCAACATAAATCTGAACAATGAGAAAATTATTTTCAAAATTCTTGATAAACAATTTAGTATCGACCTTGCCTTTTGTGAAATTATTTTCAATAAGAAAAGAACTAAGTCTCTCATATTAAGCCCTTGGGGCTTGTTTTAAACCATAGAGAGCTTTAGTTAATTTAAACACAAGGAGGCTATTATTTTCAAATCCGGGAGGTTGTTCAACATAAACTTCTTCAAAAATAAAGCTACTAAGAAAAACGTTTTTAACATCTATTTGAAATAACTTAAAATTGTTGTTACTAGCATAGGTAAGGAGCATCCTTATGGCTTCTAATCAAGCCACAGGAGCAAATGTTTCTTCGTAATCAATACATTCTTCTTGGTTGAAACCTTTGGCCACTAATCTAGCCTTATTTCTAAC